TATCTCCTCTACCTGAGAAGATAGAGAAACAACTAGAATTGCATGAAATATCACACACAGTAGGACAAATTCTGCATGTTTCAAATATATTTGTATGGTTTTACTTTCACAATAAATGATGTAGTTACAACTTGATGAAGTAATGTGAATACGTCCCAATAATCAATGAGCTCATGAGGACTTCATTAGAAACTATCATGATGAATATTAATTAGATTTAATTAACCAATAGCAACGTTATGATCCTAACAGATCAGTACACCACTAGTACGGCATTAGATAAGTCAAGGGAAGCTTTTGAAACATTACCTCGTGTATATCTACGGCTTGTGTTAAGTGAAATGTTAAACATATATGATATTAATATATATTTGAACATTGACGCTATGATATTGCCAAGGTTGCAATACTATGGGAATAATCAGAAATAATATAAAAAGATAAATATTATGACTATAATTAAAATGTAGGGCTTTGAAAGTGTTTTAGAAGCGCCTCGTATATGTAAACAAGTAACAAATAGTGCCTTCTGTGTGAATGTGCATTCGCACCACTGCCTTACTGATTATTCACAATAACATTACATCTGCGGGTGATGATACAACAACAATTACTGATACTTACTTGAGTATTCATAGTTATTACTGGGAAGGCCACATTAGCTAATTAATGACAGACATGATTATTAAATCATGTAAGCACATTTATATTAATATTCACATCCAGATGTTTTATTATCAGCTAACAATAGTAGTAAGTTCCTCAAATGACGAGCAGTCATGTGTGAAGAGCCATGTCTCCTCCACTGTCAATCTCATCCATGTTTTAACCAACTTAAGTTTAACAGCTGCATTGCTACTAAGCTTCATAACAATGAGTCATGGGTCGCTGCTTCACATCGCGAATTACACTAAACTAATGATATTAGAATGTATCATTTAGAGAGGGTCTGTATTCATATCAGTCATATCAAGGAGCATGATTTATTCTTTTACTAATAGCTTTAATGAACAATATATGGTCCGTACAGGACTTACTAACTGATGATCGCTTGGTTTTGGATAATAAAAGGTTGCAGAGCAGAGTAGACGTTTAGTTGGTATTCACATTGAAATGATCTGCCTGATTTGTTAAGACATTCCAGTCGATACAAAGTGAGTATTGATTTTGCTTGTTGTCATGTCAATACTCATTGGTTAGTTTGTGTAAGACTAGAGTGGCTCTCGAACTACTGTTAGAGCAACAAAGGAAAAGCAGTAATCACATGCGCCGTTACAAGAGTATAAAAGGACTTCAATAATGAGTGACTGAAGATCTCAGCGTGACCTCACCATCCATGGCTGGAAGAAGGTGACTTTGTGACAGCCCTGTGCTGGGGCGGCTGTTGGCCGGATGATCAGGGACATGCTGACCTCCTACGCACAATTAGTCATCTCTTTACACCACTTATTCAACCTTCTTCTTGCAACCTTCCTTCACATTGCTGTTTGGCCGCCCAGGCATCTTCTCTCCCACTCACACACACAGTCAGCAGCCTCTGAACATAAGCATGTGTTGTTCAAATGTCCACAAGGGATGCAGATCAAGGGGTTGTTACGCAGAGCTGCTAATTTCCACAAGGGGGATAGTGTTGAACTTAAACCAACTCAAAGAAACAATTGGAATTAAACGTATTTAAACATGAATTCAACAGGCTGTCCTAGATCTGCCACATTTACTCTCTTTTTTGTATTTCAGACCTGATGCATAGCAGCAAAGCTCAGAGGCCCTTAGACCGTGTTGTTCACTCAAGAACAAGCTGCTTTTGGAGTTACACATGCTGTAAAATGTGTGCTAAAACCTGCTTTTTCTTCATCATGCCTCTTCAAAAAAAAAAAAAAAAAGTTCAGCAAAAACGTAGAAACAGCTTGCACACAGACATGGGCTCTTCTACCAATGCCCTTCTTCTGAAATTGCACATGCAGTGTCACATCAAACAGCCATTATTATCACCATGGCACACCCAAATGAAATCCAAGGTGTCTTTACATGTTGAACCAGAGCAGTGTTCCCCCGATGTCATTTCGGTTAGGTTCTAATGTAATCCAGGGGAAACACAGAGAGAAGAACAGCCTCAGTCACACATGTGGCTTTCTGAAATCACACACGCTGCCTCAGATAAATATCCTCCTCTTCTGTTTATTTGTGATGTAGTGCCATGAGTCATAAAATATATTTGAAAATGTTTGTCTTTCCACCCCTGCCTGGTTTCCTTTTTGGAAAGAAAATGCATTAATAACTCAAAAAAAACATATGATAAACAAATAAACTCTATGATAAGAAAGACTGGAATAATGCATTTGCTCAGGATAAATGAGAAGTTGCCCGACATGCGGGAAGGAGCAGACGAGGACATGGAGAGACCGGCGCTTCGCTGCTCAGGGAAATAAACAACACAATACATTTCTGGTGCTGACATATTGTATTCGCTCTCAGGTACCAGACAAAGCCACAAACATTGACCCAGACAGAAAGTTTATATTTACTGAAAATGTGTTATGTCAACTAACACATCCGGATACTGGATGATGTGAGGTTGTTTAGGGTGCAATGCATTCACTGTTGGCTCTTGACTCATGTGACATATTGTTGTGGTTTACACACACAAGTGCTGGGGCTCCCATAAGAACCAACCATAGGTAAGGTAAGGTACGTTTATTTATATAGCACCTGTTCAGACACAGAGGCAATTCAAAGTGCTTTACATCATCATTAACACTTAACAAGAAGACAACAGAAAGGAACACAATACATAAACATAATGGAATAACAGATGCATAAAAGAGATACAGAATCGTTTAAAAACAACATTGTAAATACGGTAGGTGCTAAAACAAGTTAAAAGACTTCTGGGTAAGCAGACTTAAAGAAGACCTCAGGTTTGTTCCATTTGTGGGGACCATATCATGTTCTCTTGACATATGCATTGAGAGCAGGCAGGGTGCAGGGGAGAAGGGAAGAGATGGGATGCCAAGGAGGACGAAAGAGTGTGAAACTAATTCCTGCCACATCTGGAAAGAATCCCACAAACCAGTTACAGATGTATATGCTTGGTTCATGCACCCTGCCTACTACCACTCTCTCTCTGCCATGCCCAGCACAGCCTTTCCACAGTGAAACGTGTGGGACTGTAATGCCTTACAGGATTGCAAACTGCTTCTCAAACAGCGCCATCTAGTGGTAGCTGCGTGTATTGATTGTGGTGAATCACAGAGGAGATATGGCATCACTCACACAGCCTGTGCCACTCACTTGTCTGTGGCTGGCAGAGGGAAACAGCTCTGTGGAATCGGAGCCTAAAAAAAAAAATCCAAATCCTTTTTACTTTTTGATCCAGGAGCCTTAGCAAGTAACCACAATATGCTTTGAAAGAGTTCCATCAAACTGCTCAGAAATGCACTTTTATTGAACCATTTTGCTTTCTTTATTTTCTGCATGCAGGGTTAGTTAGCAAATATATTCCACTTTGTGCTCTGTGAGGAGCAATCATGAGAATATGAATTACCTTCGTGTTCGCTACCAAACAACAACAGAACTGCAGCATGCTGACAGTAGGTGAGGCTGAGTCACATGACACAACATCAGCATCGGACTGCAATTACAAACACATCAATTATATTCAGAAGCATCTCACAGGCACACTCAAAAAAACGTGACCTTGTAATCTATCCAAAGGAGAAATGTAATACATGAACATAGATATACATGAACTGCATGTAGTGTAATGTGAATAAACATTTGGTAGTGCTGTTGTTATATTTCAACATGGATCTATGAAAAAGGGCTTGTTGGCAAGGTAACAATCAATGGGGAAATAAATAAACAATAAGATAGGAATGAGAGCGAGATGTTCAGATAATATTTACAGTACAGACAAAAACGGATTATATTCAGTCTGATCTTTGCTACTTTCAAAATTATTATGAATGATTAACCAAAAAGAAATTAAAAAAAATATGTATGTGAACACATTTCATACATAGGATATTATATTACAGCAGTATGCAATACATTGTCCAGACCTCTGGTAGTGTTCTCGAATATTTTAAGCAATATAATAAGGCCCTATTCCACTTTCATTACGACGATTTGAATACCCTTTAATATAGTATTAGTCTAATACAGTTATAAGTCCAAACCTGTCTCACTAAATTAAAGTCTTGCCAGCTAGGACATGTTCTGAAACCTATCCTCATTCACTGACGTTCAAATGAAAAAGTAATTAATATTTAAAGAATAACAAATGATGCAATTTACAACGAGAGAGGAGAGGATTTCATAAACTCTCCCCTCTTTCCCCCTGGTGGAGTGTGCCAACAAATAAATCAAACATAAACAAGACAGCTCTGCGGCCCGATCATTTATTCTTGGCTGCCACACACACACACACACACACACACACACACACACACACACACACACACACACACACACACACACACACACACACACACACACACACACACACACACACACACACACACACACACACACACACACACAGCAAATAATGAGCGCTTCAAAAATAACAGCCACTGGTGAGACCCATCATGAGACAGACTTCTGGCGGGACCGGCTGCATAGGCTGCTGGCCTCTGTTGCCAAGGAGATACTATGGAGATACTATGGTGGAAAGTAGAGGGGGGGTATGACGAGAGACACCTAGTTGTCGTCAAATCAAACTCACAAAAGATCATACTGACCTGAGACAACGTGCTGCATTCTGGGGGAGATTTACAAGTTCTCGGGATGATCTGGACCCGAGGAGCGCTGCTGTCAATCACTTTCTGCTGTTGCAGCCCGACAGCAATAGAGGGTTTATTTATTTATTGACAGAATACTCCTTAAATAAATGATGAGGATGGAGAGCAGTCGTGACTAGCACTGCGCATGCTTAAAAACAGACCGATCGCTTCAGTATGGCTTTGCGTTTATCAAAAACACTCACACGGGAAGCAAGGTTACATTTCAGATTTATTGTTTCAGAGTTTGAAAAAGCAGGACAGGGAAACAAGGTCATGCCATCACACTTTCCTACACACATTAAGTATAGTGAAAAGTCACATTTTGTACATCAAATAAAGTGCTTCATACAATATGTCTATGACTATCTTTGAAGCATAGCGCTAAGGGAAACTTTGAAGTGTCTGATACTGTGCTTTATACAAGGACATGTGAATAGCATTTGACTAAATCCTCCCACATTAACACTGTAATTCCATATAAGAAACTCAAGGTCATCTCTCTGACAATTACAGAAAGGCCCACATATTTGTGCAGGAAGAAAAGCACTTTCTTTGGCACAGCAGAGAGCAGCTCCTTCATGAGAATGTGAGTCACATGAAGGAGCCTGGCCTCAAACAAACAAGCAGTTCTCTCTGTCACTTGTGTTGAGCTCGAAACACGTGCAGAAAACGTGAATAAGAGCAATGCATTTGGTTTGATCTGCTGAGCTGTAAAATGAGGGATTATTTATGGCTGGTAATCCATTCGAGGAGTGGCTGAGGGCTTCTCTGGCTTTAGCTCTGCTTGCTGATAGTCTGTCTGGACAAATACCCACTCTCCTCTTCTGATTTCACCTCCCTCCAGCCGTGAGCAGAGGCACAGACAGGCACGAAACGAGTCAAAGGCGGAGCTCATTCCTCTTGACAGCCACACGGGGCGCACTGGCCCTGCTTACACTGCTCTGTAGAAAGGACTGGCTCCAAGGCTTGTTTCTGCAGGAAGTGGCAAAGCATTAACACTTGGAACAATTACAGCACCTTCCTTAGACACATGAGTGGTAATATGGCTTCTGCAGGGTCACATTGCAAACAAATCTACAGCACATCTTACTGCTTTTTCAATAAATGATCAAGGTCAAGGTCACAGCCACGCCTTTAAGAGAGATGTTCAGATTCATGCCCTGTTGCCATTGCGCCACTGGGTGTCAGTGTGGTGACATGTTGATACAAGTCTCCAAACACGTGCTGTGTGGTGCTGTTCTTCACCCTCCCCTGCTCAATCTGTCATTCACTCTTTTATCACCCACCCCTGCTCACCTGAGTCTGTCTGCGCGCGGGCCGCACAGGTTGGTTGTTCGGGTGGTTGGGCGTCCACGGGCCCTGGCTCTGATTGGAGTAGAAATCCATGGGGTAGACTTCTTTCCAGGAAGCCTCCTGTAGAGCCACAGCTGCCTGAGAGAGAGTGAGATGGATAATTACAATGAGTGTGAAAATGAAAAAGAACAAGGAGCTGTAAAAAGTGAAACACATCCCACTTGAATGAAAGTAGACCATTCTGCTGTTTCTCTTCTTCCTGTGAGTTCATTTGCAGTTTTTGGGCAAAGCAGCTGCAGGAAACCACACAGCGGTGAGTCGTCGCAACAGACAAGACAGGTGTCATAATATTAAGCTTAGATAACAGGCGGAGTTGTCATGTTATACCTATGCAGCTGCACTGCATGACACAACAGCTGTTAGAGGGGTGCAACAGCAGCACAGGCATTACAGTGCAGTGACATACGTGCAGGCTGCTCCATATGGAAGACAAGTGACTGGGAATATTGATTCTGAATGAAACAATGAGCAGCTGAACGCCTGAACAGATGAATAAACAAGCGTGCTGAATGAACGAACACATCGTTTGATTGTTCATTTACTCATCCTATCAACTTCTCATTCATCTTCTAAACTAGTGAGATCTTCAGCTTCACACAAATAGGTGTCATTTGAAATTTTTTGGAAATATGATGAGTCATTTGACGCATAACAGAGTTTGGTTCAAGGGAAGACAAATAAAAAATGCAGCTTGAAAGGGATAACATCGCTATTCTAATGGCACACAATTCATCACTGGGTCTGTGTGTAGTGAGTGACTGTGGTGTATTTTGTTAGAATGGTGTCACCATCACTGTCAAGGTGGTTATCTCCTTTATCCTGGCTGCTTCCTTAAATATTGAAACTCACCTCAAACATGCTTTTTTTCATCTTTATATGAATAGATACAATACATCTTGAAACCAAAAGCAGTACAGATAGAGACATTATTTTCTCAATTAAGTTTATGGAGATTTGTTAACTGCACATTACGTATGTTTGTGTATATGCAGGGCAGTGTAACATGTAGCTGATGTATGTGTCTTTGAGGAATAACAACATAATTAATAACACAACTTTCCCTCTTCATATCTCTCCCTCTCTCTCCCTCTCTCTAGGTCGTCCTCAGACGAGCTCTCCATCGTCACTTCCAGTCATCCCGGTTCTCCATACATCTGGCCAGTTCATTAGTACTTTGTGCTCCTGCGTCATTCTTGAGTACGTCCACGTATGTTAGTGCGGGACGTCCTCGTGACCGATGCCCGTGTGTTGGTTCCCACAGCACCAATTTGCTGGCTGGCAGCTCTTGATGCCTTTGACAATGTCCTGCTAGTCTCATTCTCCTGGCTGCAATTTTCTCGCTCACCCTTGGTATTCCCTCGTACAGGATCTTGTTGGTTACATGTACACTCTTGCTGATGTTAAGTACTGCTCACAACATTCTGGTGAAGCATCCGTCTAGAGACTCTTGCAGGGTTGGCTTCAGGGTCCAGCATTCACTGCCATAGAGGAGAACAGACTCTACCGTTGCATAGAAGAAGCTGAAGGGGGAGGTTGGAGTTCCATACACTGGTCATGCCGTTCAGGGCCCTCCATGCAAGTGCCTTCCTCACCTTAAGATCTTGCTCGGTTGAGTTGACCCATGAGCCCAGGTACTTGAAGTCCTTGACTTCTTTAAGCACAGTGCCTTCTGTTGTTGTCAGAGGTGGATGTTCCAGTAAGATGTTATAGGTGATAACCTCAGTTTTCTTGGCGTTTAGCCTCAGGCCAACCTTGGCACACTGACTCCACTCTGTTCAGGAGTTCCTGTGCTTGCTCCACGCTGTCGGAGAGCAGGCTGATGTCGTCCGCATAGTCCAGGTCTGTCAGGACTACTGTGGGGTGTCGTCTCGACCTCCTTGGTGTTAAGAGTGAAGCCAAGATCCTGCTCTCGTCCACTGATGGCCTTCCTGAGCGCATAATCCAGGACTATGATGAAGAGGAAGGTGGCTAGGGTGTCCCCTTGCATTACCCCAGCCAGGATGTCAAACTCCTCGCTGTTGCCATCTGGGGTCACCACCTTGGCCCTTGTTCCTGCGTACAAGGTCTCTATTTCTTCATATCCAGCTATTAAAAGCGGCTCAACTAAATTCCACTACTAGGATAAATCTTTCAACATATTTGTTTTGCCTTTCCTTTTCCCAAACAGTCTCCTCTGCCCTTATTCCACTCCTCTAATTTCTTTAGCTTTTATCCACTGCTCTCCCCTCTTTCTCTCTGAGAAAGCTAGCTTCTCTTGCTAATCCCTGCTCTCACAGAAGAGCCAAGTGTGTCTTATTGACTATAAATATAACATGAGACGCACTGAAAATAAATGCTGCTGCTGCCCCCCCCTCACCCTCCACCCCTCTCCTTGCTCTCTCCATCTTGTCCCTCTTTATCTTCATTGGAAATGCCACAGTGAAAAGCACAGTGCACTGAGATGTATAACACTCATAGGTATGAGATAGGGGTGAATTAAGAATTATCATAAGCACACAGACACAAGTGCAACTGCAAATGATTGAAATGCACAGACATTGTTCCCAAAAAAGCTTGAAGGAAGAGAAAAAGCGAGCTCTCAGGAAAAAGGCTTATGGAAACAGATTGCTGCTTTCCTCATTACAGCGGGGCACACTTCAGACTTTGCATGCACCATAATGGATGGCAGTGAGAAAAACCAACAACACAATAATCATCACTTTGTCTTCTTAGGTGAATGCTTACATTATTGGAAATGGCCTCATTTTGAAAAGTATGTGAAGCGCGAAGATGTGTAGTCATAGAAAAACAGCAACCATTTCAAATCACGGCAATTCCCCTTGCGACCATTTCACAAGGATTCAAATCAGTAGCATATCTTTGAGGGAAACATCATTAAATGAATAAATAATCAAATGCTAACCAGCCAAGTCACATAATGGCACATAACTGCGAGACCCATCACAAAGTGGCTGCAGCAGCTGTAGCGGCACACAAACAAACGATCGCTCTGAAATGGTTCTCATGGGTTACTGTTCGATCTATCTCTCCCCCCTTAGAAAAACAAGACAGCTGCAGGGGTGGTGGGGGGGTGTGTGGTCCCGTGTCCAGTAGGGGGGGCTAGTCTTCTGCTGATGTTGTTTTTACGTGTGGCTTTGCATTGTCGAGCACTGATAGAGGGAGGGAAAGGAGGAGGAAGAGCAGCAGGCGTAGATCCTCCAGCACATCAGGCCTTGATAAGTCACACACTAATTCACAAACCCGTTTCTGCACTTAATGTTGTTTTAGTTTCCTTATCTTCGGGTATGTCAGGGGGTCTGTGTACGGGCGGGAGGGTCTGTGTGTGTGTGTGTGTGTGTGAGTGTGTGTGTGTGTGCTTTGCATGAGCCTTCTCTGAAAAGTGAGTGACAGCTGTGATCTTGCTGAGAGACTTTAAGGTGCATGGTGTTCACCTCGTATGGAGACAGCAGGGGCTTGGAGAAGGCCGAGCCCCAGTCGATAGAAAGGCGTGGACAAGCGATCTGGATCCACCTGTAGGGCAGAAGAGGTACACATTTGTGTTTGAATGAACATCCATCAGTGAGTGCAAATGTGAGTGTAAAACAGAAGCAGTCCGAAAGGGCGTGAGACGGCGATCCTATTCGACAGGCAGGGCACATGTGTGACTGCTCGCTGCACGTGGTGGACACGTGATGCAGGGAGGAGCCTCCCTCCACCTGATCTCCAGCATCTGTTGCAGAGTTCTGTCCTGATTTGCAATAGCTCTAAAGACAGCCAAGCTACACAGTCTGGATGCATAGCCAGCAAGAGGGGAGGCTGGAAGAGAGAGGAGGGAGTGAGGTGGTGGTGGTGGAGGAGAAGGAGGAGGAGGAGGGGGGGGTTGCAGGAGGCATCAACAGAAACACAGAGACAGAAGTGAACAGAGGTGAAAAGAGGAGAAAAGGCAGTGAATGAAAAGGAGGGAGGGGTTAGGTAAGTGTGAATAAAAAAGCAGCACCAGCCCGGTCTCCACGGAGGTAGCCTACATAGGCAAGCAGACAGGGTGGTGAGGGGGGTGAAGGGGGGCTGTGTATGAAAGAGATGGGACGAGGAAAAAGAGGAGGACACAGATATACAGAGATAGGAAGCAATGAAGAATAGCAACAGAAGGAAAAGGCACAAGGAGAGAAGAGAGGAGGAAGGTTGGCAGCGAGAAACGTGTTTACTCTGGAAAATGCATGAGCGAGGGATAAGGAGGATGTAAACAGCTGGAGGGAAAAATTAACAATGCGAAAATGGAGACGGAGAGGAACAGCCGGGGCTAAGGGGGTTAGCTTTCGCAGATCAATGCTATCCTCAGCTCCATCTCCACTCAGGGAGATGACCCTGCCTCGTCCCTAATCTTACTGATTGAGCTCCATCAGAAATGGATTGCAGTTCATATGGAGAAAATGTTAGATTTTGGCAAATGTCAAAAGCAATAGATCCGTTTGAGGATAGGCGAAGGGGTACAGTACAGCAGCATATGGAAAGCAATGAAAATATGCTTGAATACCAACACTTGTATGCTACTGCGTCAAAATCCCCATCTGTCTATTCTTCATTTTCCAACTTTTACACAATTTTCCAACTGCAGAATTGATTGCACCGCTGACTCTCGCTGTCCTCTGCTTTCTGTCACAGAAATATCCCCCCCCTCCCCCCCCCCCCCCCCGGGCATAGGCATGCCATTTACTCGTCTTCGAATAAAACGTATCCCGCCAAAAGTGTGAATTATTCTTCATCCTTCTAATTTGAGAGGAAAACTGAGTCAGAGACATGTGCACCAATCTCCTCACACATGACAAGTTGAGATGGAGAAGTGGAATCTGACAAGTGAACTTGAAATCTATCAGCACCTTTTCATAACACTTTCTGTCCTGATCCATTTATATAAAAACCTGTCTGAAAATGAGCTGATCAGATTTTGGCCACTTTATGATGTCACAACCAGGGGTGCATATAATTGGTACGCAGGTACGGCAACAATCTGAATTGCGTAACATCACTTGTGTCACTACGCGCCTTTGCGTACCTCAAAACATCAAAACAAAAACACATATTTCGTCTACACGTGTTTCTTGTCAACAGTCAATGGAGTAAACTACAAGACATGTAAAAAAAAAAACAAAGACATTAAGCAGCTACGTTGCCGTTTCGCTCCCTGCAAAAAATCTTCAGACTTTCTATGACTGATTGAACTGGAGCTGGCCGAGCCGCGCAGGACATAACCGACGGACCTGTGAAGCTTTACAGGAGGCAGAGGCTTAGATCACTGGACAACAGAGTTGGTCACCGTGTGCACAGACAGGGTTAACGTCGGTATGAACAACAGAATTGTGCCAAAACTCCGCCAACTGGCTGCAGTGGGAGACTCCCCTGAGCACACTCTGTGCCCCACGCACACACTGGAGAACTGCGCACAATCAGCTGATCACAACGTTCACGCTGTGTGGTCAAGCTGCTGCAGTTTTATTTACAACAAGGTGGAGTAAAACACACAGCTGCAAACTTACTCAGGGTGTTAATGGAAGAGTTTGAAATCAGACAGAGGTGGAAGAAGCACTCAGATATTGTACTTGAGTAAAAGTAGAAGTACCAGAGTGTTACTCTGTTACAATAAAAGTCCTGCATTCAAAATATTACTCAAGTAAAATTAGAAAAGTATTATCATCAAAATATAGTTAAAGTACCAAAAGTAAAAGTAGTCATTGTGCAGATTGGTCCATTTCAGAATAATATATATGATATGTTTTATAATGATTGATCATTAAAGTGTTCTCAAAGCTGGTAAAGGTGCAGCTAATTTGACAAATTAGATCAAAGTCAAGTAAAGTACAAATATCTCAAAATTGTACTTAAGTACAGTACTTGAAGAAGTGTACTTCGTAACTTCCCACATCTGAAATCAGATATGATTTCAAGTCATGTGATAATTTCTTGGTATTTGATCCTTGAACTTCAGGAAATGCAAGGACTTCACAGTTTTGGCAACAAGTTTTGGAGAAAGCAAATCGGAGGCTTAAAAAGAGACAGGGAGGTGCATCTGCAGCATCTTCATCATCTACCATGCAAGAAGTGTAAATAGAGGACAGTGAAGGAGACACTGAGGAGGACCACACTTCGTGTGTGGTCCTCCTGTCTCCTGGTACTCATCTGAGTAACTCACTCAAAAAGTTATGTACACCCCTGGTCATAACGATTTGTTTGGCTTGTGTAACCAATAGCCAACCAAGGTACCCCCCCCCCTTATCACCTGAATCTCCTCCTAGAGCACCATTGTGTTCTTTTTAACCAAATATCTCAGAGGGGCGTGGGGAGTGGCTCTTTATTTTCATCTAAATTAACAGACAGAGAATCAGCACTTTTGAAACAGGGCTGAAATAGAGGGGATTATGGGATGCTACAATTATCTGTTTGGTATTTCAGCCAAACATTTCAGAGACACGGTTTGTATATATCTGAGACTTATAATTATCGAGTATCGAAAACAACTATCGAAAACAACTTCTCAAAAAAAGAAAATGTTGCAGCTGCCATTTGTGACTGCACATATGTGTGAGCAGACGAGTGTTTACACTTGTGCTGTATGTGTAGTGTGTCTATGTGTGGCTGTAAAGAACATATGCTTAAAAGAGAGAGGGTGACTAATAAAGCAAAGCAAGACTCTAAACTCGACACTTAATCCTTGAGGATTGAGGGTCTGAGAGAAAACTAAGACAGAAAGCATGAAAGGGAAGGCCGAGAGGATTCCTCCTAAGAAGCAGAAAGCTGACTTTTCTAATAGCACAGAGACTGACTGAATAGTGCAGTTCAGTCAAATGCATGGAGCCATGCCAGGTACTGCCCTCCAGAACGTTGTCCAAATTGCATTTCCAGCCCTTATCTGGCCTTCAATGTAGCTGGCACAGTACAGATCCCCAAATCATGGGGTGCATTGGAACAAAGAGAGAGCTGGAGGAAAGATATGCACAGACAAAGGAAAAATGTGGGCTTTTGTATCTGGCAGTGGAGCCTTGTTTCACAACTTATTCCCAGCGAAGATTAACAGATAAGCAACTCATGAACAGGACTTTGAGTTTTCTCTACAGGATCTGTTTATTTTGTTGTTGCATAAAATAAATCCCTTAGACACTAGACGTAGAAGAAAGGCTAGAGCAGGATGCAGTTCTGGTGCTGCGATATATAAAAGTAAGGCTGTGACATTTAGCACTGCTTTGCTTCGTGAGCTGCATCCCTGGCCTCACTGCATTGCCTGCTGTGGCCCATTACACCCTGACAATGTTAGGAAGACCTCCACCTGCATGGCTTCACTTTAACTACACTCACAGTTTTGACCCGCCAAAAGCAGGAACAATTAACCTGCGCTGCGGTACTGTGTAAAATGCTCACCTTTTAATGACGGTGCACCTAATTAAATTAGAACAAGGAATTTCATTTGAATGAAGTCAACAATTCAAATTCGAGTAGAACGATAAAAGACTGCAATGCACTGGGTGGCATTTTAAGTCTAGTTTATATAAGTGTGTGGGGTGTACATATATATGTGCTATAGTTTAAAACCTGCTCGGGGACAGCCTAATTACACACTTAAGAGCATATGCTAATGGTGTCTCTCTGTTTATATGAGTGAGTATGTGTGTCTAATGACAGAGAAAGCCTGGGGGTGGACTCAGTGCCGTGCGCTGTGTTGGCTGGTGCTGAGCACTAATGTGTTCCTCTACCACCCTCTGTCTATCTCTCAATCGCCCCCTCTCTTCCTTCTATTAATCCTTCTAAACAGTCTGTTCAAAACATTTTCCTACCACCTGGTGGTTTATAATCTCTGGTTCAGAGTAATGCGGGATACCTGTGTTCTTCCAGATTTCTCTAAAGGTGTGTGTGTGGGGTAGGAAACAAAAAGAAAAAGAGAAATATAAGCAAATGAAATCTACTCTGTGATGTCTAATCTGAATAAACAGTGGTTCATGATGATTACAAAGTTATTAGTAAGTCATAGCTTCCAAAAATAAACCTTCAATTTCTACTTTCATCTCTTACCCAGAATATTTAAAGAACGCTTAAAGGTCCCATGTCATGCTTTTCCGGTTTCCCAGTGTTTCCCCTACCATTGTCTTGGAGGGGCGCTGCGCCCCGCCAACAGAGCCCCGCCAACAGAGCCCCGCCAACGGAGCACCCCCTGAAATTCAAGGTGTTTAAAAAAAGAATTATAATTTTTTTTATATATACAGTGGGGCAAAAAAGTATTTAGTCAGCCACCAATTGTGCAAGTTCTCCCACTTAAAAAGATGAGAGAGGCCTGTAATTTTGACAAAATGAGAAGAAAAAAAAATCCAGAAAATCACATTGTCTGATTTTTAAAGAATTTATTTGCAAATTATGGTGGAAAATAAGTATTTGGTCAATAACAAAAGTTCATCTCAATACTTTGTTATATACCCTTTGTTGGCAATGACAGAGGTCAAAGGTTTTCACACACTGTTGCTGGTATTTTGGCCCATTCCTCCATGCAGATCTCCTCTAGAGCAGTGATGTTTTGGGGCTGTCGCTGGGCAACACGGACTTTCAACTCCCTCCAAAGATTTTCTATGGGGTTGAGATCTGGAGACTGGCTAGGCCACTCCAGGACCTTGAAATGCTTCTTACGAAGCCACTCCTTCATTGCCCGGGCGGTGTGTTTGGGATCATTGTCATGCTGAAAGACCCAGCCACGTTTCATCTTCAATGCCCTTGCTGATGGAAGGAGGTTGTCACTCAAAATGTCACGATACATGGCCCCATTCATTCTTTCCTTTACACGAATCAGTAGTCCTGGTCTCTTTGCAGAAAAACAGCCCCAAAGTCTGTCATTCAGGGCAGTATCCGACTACACTATATATAATCCAGGGGGCGGTATTGCGCCTAAAAGCCGTTTGCCAGCCGCCCTTAAACAACAAATCGAACAAAATACAAGAAGAAGAAAAGTTGGTATTGCGAGTTCAGATAACACACAGGAGCTAGAACCCACCTGCTTCTTTTAAATCAGCTGTGTGGGAACATTTCGGGTTCCCTGTGGACTACAATAACAATGGAGTGCGAGTGGTGGATCGGACGAAGACGGTGTGTCGGCGTTGTTCGACAGCGGCGCGGTATGCTAATGGTAACACACGCCAAACATGCTAAATCATATCAGAAGGCATGGCCCAGATTTGCCAATCACCGGAGCCCGGCAAAAGACAACAGCAGTTCAGCAGCTGATCCCCGCTGTTTTTAAGAAGCCAATAGACATGAAAGCCGTGAGACCAAAATAAATAACGGAAGCTTTTGGCATATGTTTTTCAACGACTATGCTGCGCCCTTATGCAATAGTAGAGGACCCCGGCCTTTATTGATTGTGATTGAAACACTATCTTATTATTTATTTTGTAATATTTTCAAGACATTCTTTTTAGTTTTAGAGCTTATAGAAACGTTTTGTTTGACATCAGCCATTATAGATAATATGGCCATCTGAGTGTGTGTGTGGTAGGCCTACTGTTTGTTTTTCACTGTGTAATACAGTTAATTATTCAAAATGTTAGAGTTCCTTATTTTTAAACTGAAACTTGCACTACTGTTCAAAATAAATAAAAAACAAACCTGGAATTATGCATTTAGGACTTTTCTTTTCTTTTTCTTGTTGTACCGAACCCATACCGAACCGTGACCCCCAAACCGAGGTACATACCGAACCGTGAATTCTGTGAACCGTTACACCCCTAATCGTCAGGGAGTGAATAGCGGCCGATATCGATCGGCGGACAATCGATCGGAGCATCCCTAGTTTATACCACTCAAATTGAGATATAAGTATTGTTTAAAGAACATTATAGGAATTTAGGAAGGAATTTCGTCACAGTTTTTGTAGAATCTGTTGATGGTAATTGTGGACCCCATTTGTATAAATACAAATAGATTAAATATAAAAACAGTGTCCAACAGTATATGCTTTATTAGATGGCTGTTAGTAAGCCAGGTGTACCTACCTATCTCTTTTCCTATCAGATACAAAGTACACCTTTTTGGATTGAAACACTTTTGTTTTCTTGAAATCAATACCACAAATGCTACTGAAGCAGACCTTGTTGAAAAGCTTTTTGTCTATAATGAGGGTTTGTTTTGGTTGGGAGAATCGTGCCGGACTTACATAATATTGGAGTTGCACTCATACGTCAGTCTGAAGAGGAGAACCAAAAACTAAGAAAAAATGGCTTATACCATGATCACTCATTTTCTAAACAGCCCCCTCAACTACCTCTGCATAACTCTCTCCAACTCACTCTCAATCTCTCAGACCTTCTGTCCTTCTTTCACCCACTCCTCCCTCACACATCACACTTCTCATTACTCCACAGTGAGAGGCCAATCTGAGGGAGTGTGAGGATTGTGTGTGTGCCTGTGTGAGTGTGATTGGAGCTCCTGCACATCAGTGTCTCACTAAACCCTTGTCCGTCTTCACCTCTGTTCCTCTGGTTGCGACTCAGATACATTGGAAAAGCTACACCTGGAAGCCTAAGCACTTGATATATCGTTGAAGAAACTGGAGCGGTTCAGTTTTTTGAATACCGTAACAAGTGTTGCTGGGCTGGATAACAGCGTTTAGTGTCAGGGTAAAGTTCAGATCCTGCCACTGCGATTATCATGTATTACAGGAGCAATGTGTAATACATGGAAGGAGACGGCATATAACCTCTACTACGGGCTCCATACAATCTACAAAACACTATTCAGTTCTTCCTAAAACACACATTTTGTGATTCACCATGTCCTTTCAAGGTACAAGTGGTATTACAAGACAGAACAGATTGTTAAGCATGCTCATTTAGTAGATGTTCTCTTCGAGAGAACTCGTAAGTTGCTTTGACAGCACTATACACCCTTCACATTCTGTTAATAATGTTAGTGCGTGTTTTAAACAAAAAATCTGCCCATATCTTCCACATTACCCCTTAATGGACAAATTAATAAGCATTACATGTTACTTGTTAGACGCTTTTATCCAAAGCGACTTACATACTCAATACTGTGGGCAATCCCCACATGAGCAATTTGGGGTGAAGTGTCTTGCCCAGGGACACAATGACATGCTGACTGCAGTGGGGTTTGAACCTGTGCCCCCCTGATCCCAACACCAGCGCACTAGCCCACTGCGCCACAGCCTCCCGCACATCTCAAAGTAATAATTATATATTGCGTGAGGGAACGAGTAAGTGTTAATTATTTGTAATGGGTTCACAATTTCCTTGGGTCCAGAATTGTTACATATTTTCGGACTCATGGTAAGGTGTTCGAAATAAAACAATTTAGAGTCTCAAGTTAAAGAAAACGGACAAACACATTTTTACAGTTATTACAGTCTATATTATTTTTCTTATTTCACTATTTTTCTTATTTCACTATTTTACTTTTTGTATTGAATTTGTTCTGTTTTATTGTGTTGCACTGTTGGAGGAGCCTGTGACCTAAGATTGTCATCGTCATAACTACACTGTAGCTATGTACGTATGACGTATAAAGCCTTGCACCTTGAACCTAAATGAGTTCAAAGTGTTAACTAAGCACATTATTTAAGTATTAAACTCTGCTCTCTTTGCCCCCTGTGTCAAAACTGACAATTTGTATCAAGCATCCAAGTGAATCATGCTGCACTCTTTGGTTTTGCTACAAAGTTAAAACAATGGAATCTCAGCAAGACTTGAATGCAAATAGTGTTTATGAAGGCATAAACTCCAGACTTCTGTGTGTCAGCTCCTTGTAACAGTGTGGACTTGCAAATGATGCTGAATCCCAAGTTATGTGTGCAATGATGCTTACAGAATACATTTCAAAAGTTGTTGATTGCAACTTCTAGGTGACTACTGATCATAACAGCTCTGCCAGCGTCCGTGATGTGAAAGATAAATGAGCCATTGTTTAAAACAAAGAAACACAGCCGTTGTTAAGAAATTGCAAATCATGAAAACAATGAGCCAAAGGGAGAAGTGCTGTGAAAGAACAAGAAGTAATGGGAGGAAGACAATAAAAGTAATCCACACTTTCGGGCTGGAGAAAGCTATGGTATGTGAAAAAGGAAAACAAAAAACAAATACACTGTATCAACGGTTCTTCAATTGTTTTAACAACAAGACTCAAAAGCACTGTAAGTGTTGTCAGAGAAAATACCTAAATGTCTGGCTTCTGCCACCTAATATTGTTATTGTATTATTGTTTAAGTATATGTGCATCTTAATACTCACGCATCTATATCTTGCATCAGATCCAGCTTTCCCGGGAAAATCTCAGACAGGAGCACTCGAGTGAAGGGCTTTCCCAAGGACTCGAGCTTTGACTCCAGATGCTAACAAGAACAAGAAATTAGATAAAAGGACCAATGATTAGGTTTGCAAAACAAACAAGAAACATAATTCTATCAAGGGTTTTAAACTAAAGAATATCAAATGATATGTCACAGATCACAAAGCCCATGACGTCCTCCTACTAACCTTCAATCCTTCTGTTTTGTGACACAGTTTACTGGTTGGTGATAGCAAAACAAGCAAGCTAGCAGAATTATTGTTTTCCTCACCCATGTCAATCGATTTATCTTCGAAATGTAAGCCGTCAAGAAAATTCTTGGTCTACCTCTGGATCTCCTTCCAATTTTGGAATAGTCTGCTTTAGTAGGCCCAACTACCTCAACGGGCTCTTTCCAGAGCACCTTACAGATGTTAAATCTCCTCACCCCAGACCTTACACCACAGACAGTAGGCCCATGTGGATCTGGTGGTCCCGCTTGACTTCCTCAGATTGAGTTTAATCGTGCCCCTTGTGTAGAAGCCCAGACAATATGCGTTATATAACATATCAATATATGAAACAGATTATCCTGTTCAAGGAACTCTCCTGCCTTGCTGTTGCTGCCTATAAAGTTGTGGGTATTGGTACTTGGGCTGAGGTGTTGTTCGGAGTTGCAGCCAAACCAAGTGAAGAAATCTCATAAATGTTCCATTGGTGAGATAAAGGTATGGGATTTGCTGATATCCACTGTCCTTGGGAGTATCATGAGCCATTTCTACAACTGTGCTCTTATCAGAGATAGCTCCGTCTCTTTACTTGAGATGATCTGACACTGTACTATTTCATCTCAACAGATCGCTATGGAAGAGTTGGTGGGTCTTTTATTAATTTTAGTCAATTTTTTCAATCTATCCTCTCCTTCCACCCTAAAATCAAACATTTCACTCTCTATTGGCCATATAGTTTTACTGTACACCAATGTTAACTTAAAGTCTGAAGTCTGAATATTTACTATCAGGAGACATGCATCAATAGGTCTAAGAACGTGTGCCGAGTGACAAAACCTTGTTGTGGATTTGTTTTAAAAACTTTTATATCTACAATGTCCGTGCAACTAACCAAGCATACAGACAGGATTATGTTTTTAAGATGAACTAAGATAAAAAAAGAAGCCCCTTGGCCAACTCAATGTTCATTGATTCACGGCTAAATAAACTAATACAAAATAGAATATGTATGTATTTAAAGAATAAATAAAAACATAAATATAAAAAAGGCATAGTTAATATCAAAGTTGAATCTACAACAGTACAACACAAATAAAACAAGAGCTAAAGTGGGAATGAAAGAAAGGAAAAATGATTATATATAGAGTATTTTCAGTTTTTCACTCAACACAATAATGAACCAGTATCAGCGTCCACACATTGTTCTGTTTGGCACTTTCCTTGGCACTTTCAAATCATGATTAGCAATTTGGAGTCAAACTAATTAATTTGTGATTTGAATTTCTAATGTACTAGAATTGTGCAATGAAAACAACGTCAATTAAAAGAACCGCAACTTCCACTAATGAACAGATTTTGTACAATATTTAGGATTATTTTTCATTATCACTGCTAAATCGATAATAAAATATGCTTAAAATCTAAATCCCTGGGACTAACACTTCAATACAGCCAAAGAGGCCAACAGTGAGATCAATGATAGGCTTTGCTATGGCTGTCTGGCTGCATCATTCTGAATGTGTAAATAACAGGCTCCGAGTGTGAAGACTGCTTGTCCTTTCAGTATTGCATGACTCCCAACGACTTGTCAGAGAAACTGACTTTGATATAAATGTAGCAAGCTATTGCACAAGTAGCCTCAGTACATGCAGAGAGTCAAAATGAAGATGCAGATGCTTACCTCCATGACTTTAGGGCTGCCCTGCCGCCCCAGCGTGCCCATGATCAAGCCCCATCTCTGGGCCGATCGAGCCTTATCAATAGCCTGGAGCCTTAAGGCACGCATGGCTTCGTGGTCATAGTACTCCCTGGAAAATACTTTACTGTAGGGGTCATATCTACGGACAAACACAGACAAGAAAAGGCAAAGACACTAAAGTAAATGGAAGATGTGTAGAAGCATAAACAGACAAACCATATTATAGCCATTAAGAACTGTTCTTCATGTATCTATCCTGAGGATAGGAATGCAAAAAAAGATGACAAAATCCAATCATGAAAAGCCATCAAGTATGACAAGAGTTAGTGTATCTTAGGAGAAATGGAGGTATTTCTGAGCATCTAATCTCCTTCTCTCCGGTACAAGGAGTAGACTTGAGATTAGAATCTTGTTTATGAGACCTGTGATCTTTGCAGCAGTGCGTATGTCTATAACGGCACAATCAAGCCTTGCATACAAACAAGACCTCATCAAAAAATGAATGTAATCCTCACAAAATGTTATCATGACACTGCGAAAAGGTGAGTGATCATGAGTACAAAGGATTATTTAATGTGAATAATCCTTTTCTATGCATAACATATTTCACGGGGATCTAAGGAGGTGATTACATTATTTTACTTGTGGAATGGCCAAGCTTTCTCCTTAGTTTACCACCTTTGCTGTTAGATTACTTATTAGCTGTAATGCAAATTGACCACAATGAACATTTTGTACAATATTTTTGCAGTGAAATAACGAATATTGAGCAAAAGTTATTTAAGTTTGGCTATACCTGTAGGCAGGGATTTCTGGGTTGGCGATCATAATTGACTCCAGGTGAAATCTTCCATCGCCCAGATAACTATAGAAAAAAAAGAGAAAATCAGTGTTGGAGGTAAGAGACGTTATTTGTGTAAAAGACCCCATGTAGACAATAACATGCAATGCACAACCAATAAATACTGGCCTTTCATTCCCACTCTCTCTTTCTAGCTTTCTCTCTCTCGCGCTCTTTTAAAATTCATTCCTCTCTGCAGCTTTTTTACTGAAGACCAAAGTGTTACCAGGCAGAGGGCCTGAGGCTGGGGTGGAGGTCCTGCCCATCTCTGCTCTACAGGGACATGACCCCAACGATTAGAGCATGCTGTTTACAGAGAATGCAAGCCCCTCCAATTAACCCAGGGTCTGGTGCTGGGGATTCACCAGAGCCAGAGCAGAGGCAGGGTTCACAAACCGGAGGCATGCAGGATGCTGAAAACACAAGCTCAGGCAGAACACTCTCATATATTCATCCCTCTCAGTGTCAGATTGAGAAGAATCCTGCTGATACTGTGAGAGGGCTCGGGTCGAACCCCTACTCATAGCTGTACTTGTCAATCTCAGTTGGCCTAATGGAACAGGATATGCAATTAAATCCACTAATTGGTCAGCGTTTAGAGCAGCATGAAGCTGTGGGTGGTTTGCCATACAGCCTACCTGGAGACATTTCTATCCAAGACTTGATTTTCAAATGTGTTTGTGAGAAAGCCCACATGTATGTCTCACTGTGCGTGTCACAACAATGACCTCGAAAATAGCCTTTTTCTTGTCCTTTGCTTAGCAACATCCAAGGCACTTATTATTGTTAAGTACACAATGAATCTGGTGCATATAGCCAAGGTTGTCCTCAGCTCTCTGTAGCTTTAAGAGGCTGGTGTACTCAACTCTCGCTCTCCCTACAATCACCGTCCATATTCTATTATTCTTTGCAAAAGTGCTCTCTAATGGTAATGCGTTATGCAACACTGTATCCTCACAATCGCATCTATATATTGTTATATTACGAATGAGAGCTAGAGCAGAGGCAGCAGATATAAATGATAGACTGATCATGGCTCTTTTCAAAACAGCTTCTGAAAATACATTTGTTCATTATAGAAAATAACAGACCAAACTTTAGAACTTGAAGATTGGCCTCAGACACTAAAACACCAACTCGATCTGCATAATGGTGAAGTAGCTCGACATTTTCTTGGAGCACTTACACCTAACTAATGTACGTAAAAAACGATGTTAAATAAGAGGTTAGTGTACCATTAAAGGTGATTAAGAAAACCTTGTTCTCTGCTGTTGTTCTTAGAGACAGTGAACATTCAATGATGTCAATACCTTAATAGTGATCTATTAAGGTGAAAGGAAGCTTGTTAATAGCACACTATTAGACAGTAATTAAGATTTGGATGCATTTTCACAGCTTAATAAAACATGCCTTCAGATTCAGATTCAGATTCAACTTTATTGTCATTACATAGTACATGTACTAGTGACGAAATGTAAGTTTAGGCATCTGACCAGAAGTGCAAAATAGCAGTGCTGGAGTCTACATAATGAGAATAATTATACATGGAATTTTTATTAATAGAATAATTATAAATAGGCTATAAACAGATGACAGTAAAATATATAAACAGGTGGGTGGTGGGTATGGGCTTGAGTCTATCAGCGGGCAGAGTTCAGCAGGGTAACAGCCCTGGGGAAGAAGCTGACCCTGAACCTGCTGGTCTTGGACCGGAGGCTCCTGAGGCGCCTCCCCGAGGGTAGGAGGACAAACAGATAGTTTGCAGGATGAGAGGTGTCTTTGAAGATGTTGTGCGCCCTCTGCAAACACCGTATCCCCTGGATGTCCTCGATGGCAGGGAGTGGGACACCGATGATGCATTGGGCGATTTTCGTCACCCTCTGCAATGCCTTCCTGTTGAGCATTGTGCAGTTCCCATACCAGGCTGTGATACAGCTGGTCAGGATACTCTCAATGGTGCAGCGATAAAAGTTCACCAGAATCTGAGGAGGTTTAAGTTGCGTTTTATTGTTTTTGTAAACCTTTTCTTTTAAATGAATGTATTATTTATAATGTATATTCTATTATATACATGTAACTATTTGATGCAGGAACATGTTTGATCCATAATGTCATGCCAACAAATGTCAAATTAAAAGAGATTGAGACAAAAAAACGAATCAACTCTCAGTTTAATCGATTCTCCTTAGCAGCAAACTACTACACACCACTACTCACATCAAAGACAAACCACTTGGGATTAGGAGGTGAAAACCCTAACCCTTCCACTTCTTTCACACACACACACCACTTTTGTCTCCCATAGGGCCAGGCTTATGCATATAGCAACGCTTGTCCTTGTGTAGCCATTTTAATCTTATGCACTGGGAGGTTTTAATCACATGAACACCAGATGTGTGCAGATAAGACATACCGGGTGAGGTGATGCACCGAGGCCTTATTATACCCGGGGAATTACTTCAACTCACTGTGCACCACAAGGCAGAGGATTCTCTCTACTGTTGAGCTGCACCAGATGCAAAGACAAAGTGGCTGCGGAGGTGTTGTTTTCTGAACATGTTGCTTTGCCAGAGCACTCTCCTCTTTGCAGTACCGGGAGGATAAGCATCACGTTGACATTTCTCATATGCATGGAGTTTATGTTGATGCAAAAAGACTAAAGAGCTAGTCTATTATAAGCCTTATCTTGTTCCCCTTTAGAGGAAATGGAGAGGGGAAAAAGGATGTTTAAACTGGCAGTCCAAAAAAGTTGCAAAAATGGTTTATCAATTCTCGCCATGAACTTGCCACAGTAGGTGGCCTACTCTGTGAAAACATTCCTTTCAAACTCAGAAAATGGGCTAGGGTGCGGATGCGCTGCGGTTGGTTTGAAAGAGCCAAAAGTGGCCTTGTCTTTCTGGCTTTACACAATTCAATGCTTTGCGCAGCGTGAGGGTATTTTTAGACCTGCCGTTCTGGATCAGCACCTGGCTGTTTCTGGCTGGATATAATAGAAGCCTGATCTGAAGCACTCAGACACAGCTAGATGTCACATGAACCTATGTCTGCTGTGGCTGGTGTGATACTAATTATCTCTCATGTCACTTAGGTGTGCAGGGGTAGTTATGGCACCAGGAGGTGGGGAGGGTTTTCCGGGGGATGGATGTCTTTGATTATCTGGATATTTCTGCTAACTAGTGGTAAGAAGGGACAGGACTTGGCTGAAACTGTGAGGCGGGAGACAGGAAGAGAAGTTGCTTACATTATGGCATTGACTTGACGGTCCAAGCGAGGGGAGGTACAGCCCAGAATTTCTCCCGGTGACAGAGGTCGACACTGTGGGACCAGCACATCATACTCTGGTTTGAGGGCTGCACTCACAGCCTGCAGAATAAAACAAGGAGAGGAAAGGATATTTAGAGATGTACAGGTTTGAAAGCCTTTTCCAAATTAGAGCCATGAGGTAAAGGCTCAAACCATTCATGACTCGTACACATCATTCGAAGTTAATAGCTAAACAGAAACCACGCAATAAGATCAGTAAAAAGTGTTTATAGTCAAATCTGTTTTTGTTCTTCATCTTATGACACAAATTGAAAAAGAGTCATCAAATGCAGGAACATTATACAATTTAATATGCTATAGATATGTGCATAAATACAGGCACTCAATAGCATGAAGAATTGGATTAATGAGGAATTAGATTTGTCTTGTTTAATTTAAACCGCACATTTACCCTAATGTATGGCATATCATACACAAAATAATCAACAATGTAAGTGAATAGAGATCACATTCATTTTCCAAACATAAAAGATGAGTTTAAGCAACGTGGGTAAGAGAACAAACAATAACATGAAAAACACGAGTTAGTGTGCATGGAGGTGGAAAGACAAATGAATCGATAGAAGGCTAATTTAAGAAAGTCTACAGGGAATACGGGTGACCTCCCATCTTCTCCCGCCCAAACTGTGAGACCTCAACACACACACACACACACACACACACACACACACACACACACACACACACACACACACACACACACACACACCACACACACACACACACACACACACACACACACACACACACACACACACACACACACACACACACACACACACACACACACACACACACACACACACGTTTGAGATGGAGGCTCAAATGCATACAATACACAAACACTGAGATATACTGTATATGTACGCATGGATGCACTCAATCACCCCAACATATAGTATAACCTACATGGGCAGAACATGGTGTAAACATAACGGTGATTACATTAGTGAAAGTGGTGTTGGTTCAACACAACGAATGAACGCAGCAGAATGCATTATAGAAGAGAGTGGCAGCGGGCCTGGAGAATAGATGTTCTAGCTTAATATTATAGCTGCTGCCATTGCTTATGTAAAGAGCAGAGCTGAGCACGACGCTGAACTGAGAGCCTTCCGAGTTCATTGCCTCCTTTCAATCCAAAATAACTGCTGCCGGATTTCTCAAACCCACACTTGAACTGAGCTTAAGTGTGGACTGCAAGCTTGTTCATAAAGGCCATATTATAAAGGATACTGTACACATGCACAGAAGGTGTTCCTATCCTGTACATACAAAAATACATGGGGGGGGAATGAAAATACACAAGCTATTTATTACCATCACATCAGGTAAGAATTCCTATACTTTAGCTGTGTGACACAATCATGAACACACACACACACACAATCAGGAGCCTGTGCTTGATCACCTGCAGTGCTGCCACAAACTGAATAGTGCTGACGAGTGCCAGCGATTTTCCGGGAGGGAAGTTGAACTTGACCGTGTCCATGAAGTGCGCATTGTCCATCTGGATATCCACGAACACATACAGCATCTTAATACCTGCTGTGGAGTCTATGGGGACTGTAGGGGAAAGAAGACAAAAGAAAGGCAGATGAATAATTGAGTGCGTTATGTCAGGTAAGCCTGCGGTATATACACTATTGATGGTGGTTCAAACATTAAGACTGCATGTCCAGTGATACAGCTGTACAGAAACACAGTAAAGGCACATATATAGATCTCAGCAGGTGTGATATAACTGAAACTCATTCTGCATGAGTCTCCAGCACACGCAGGAACTGATGCAAATGCCTCAATTATTTAGGAAAGGAGAGGGACATGCAATTACAATTAATGCCATTAATTTCACAGGCCATTTACTACGCCCCCCAGGCCTCCGAGAGGTAGCTGGAGACGTGTCGAGTTAGATGCTGAAAAAAGTAGGCGACAGTCCAAGATAATAGGGGGAAAGGACTAGGAATTATCCTCTACGTTGATCATCTTAATTATTCTTCCTCTTGTGTTACATTTCATTTGCAGAACAGGGGCAAGGGGACTTTTTTTGTTATGATTAAGCAAATGGCCCATTATGGTGCAAATGTTTTACGAGTGAGTGCAGCTTACTTGATGGCCTAGACAGAAGATCTGTGAGATATACGTCTTCACAAAAGATTGAAGGCAGATTGGATGGAAATCAGGAGGGGGATTGGGAAATGCCATTGATAGTAAACTGGAAAACCCTGAAATTCAATTTGCGAGAGGGGGTAGTACATTTAATAACTTAGTGTATACATTCCAAAAGATATGGCATGGATGAGAGGAGAGGAAAAAGTAAGTGATGAATGTGCTCAGCAGAGATGGAAGGAAGAGATTTAAAAAGGTGCGCTTTGCTGCAGGCCACATGTTTGGTGAGAAACCAAGGAGTTAAATATATCATGAGACTTAAAAGGACTGGAGGAGTTGAGTAAAAAAACAGAAACTAACAGCTTGTTTATAGGCACTCTGAAAACGTAAAGGGCAAAGAAAAGGGACATCGATCCGTGTTCACATTAGCATGGTAGGCCGAGAGCACTTAGGCCATGCAATTAGAGACTCGGTCAATGAGATTGACAGGACTCACTTGCCCTATCGTCACCCCAGTGGTCTTGTTCATCTGTGTGTTATAGCCATAAGGTCACTCAGCACAGCAGCTTATTAGCACCCATGTAAACAAATATGCAAGTACATTCTTAGCAAGTGGGACTAAGAAAAGGTTGGACATAATGGAATACTAGCTTATTTACAAGTGGATTGTTAACAGATCAATATGTACACACATCTTTCATTTTATATTCTGCTAGTGGACAACTTTATGAATAATACAGCTAGTTGGTGTCTGAACTGATTTATGTCCAATCTGTGGAAGTACTACCTTTGACATATCCAAATTCTGCTTATACTTCACTCTAATGCAAATATTTCTGTTCGCACTGAAACAAAAAAAGGTGTTGTTTTATTATGGTTGCTATGTGGTTAAAAAACAGGTCTTTAAGCCCCATGATGATTGGTCACAAGGGAAGTGTTACCTTGCCTGTTATATCTTAGCGTCATGCTAGTACACATCTCTAACAAATGTTGTCACCTTGGATAGGTGTTGCCTTGAAGCTCTATTTGAATGACTCATGCCACTAAAATAGTGAGCACCTGCTTTTGATGTGTACGATGGTTTAGTTATGCTAACATGTATGGCAGCCAGCCTGGCTTCTGAAAAGGGCTTCTTAGATTTGTTTTTTCATCTCCAGGCACTTTTTCCAATTCAGTAAATATACACAAAACAAGTGTTAAATGAATTGTTTCTCCTCCCTCGCTAGCCATCACTTTTTTTTCTGTTTTTTGTTCTGTCAGAAATGTTGTAAAACAATATTTTTTTTAAAATGTTGTTTACATTTTAATAATGTTGAATACAATTCCCATCATTCATATCAGCAAGCATTTCTATCACTAAAAGCATGGTTTTATGATGTTGCCATATTGCCTGCAGTAGATGGAGGAGCTTTATGAGGACAAAATATGAGATTGCACCAATATTCATAAAAGCAGATACTGCAGAGGAAATGAAAAGGTGCAGGAGTTCACTGCGAGTCGCTTAGAACACAGTGTCTTTAATCTCTCACAGGTATCTGACATCTCTAGCAACAGTGCAGATGATGTCCTCATGATTGAATGATGAAGGTCAGGAACACGAACACACTCACACACACAAACACAAACCCACACACACCAAACACTGACAATCGGCAGGTCACGACATTCCTTTGAAAATCTCTTCTATCAATTAATATCTGATCTGAATTCAAGATGAATTGATCTTTGGTGCCTTCATCGCTGCTGGTTTGGTGTAAATGAGAATGTGTACGTATTATCTCTTTTGTAGACCTACAATTCAATCAAATCATTCTTTCACAAATATCAAGAAGCGAAAGTGCACACACCTACAGACAAACAAGCAAACAAATAAAACAAACAGAAACACAGACACCAACACAAAGAGAACACAGTGTTTCGATGATTTAACATTCTGTTGGTCAGTTCTGGTATTTGGGAGAGGGGAGATTGTTCTGGCAGGGATATATCGAAACTATTGATTTAGCATTTCCTCCCATGTTATGCAAGAGACAGACTGCGGAGTTTGAAGGTCCTCAAGAACTGCTTGAGGTTTTCAAAGGACGGCACTAATGCATGTTCCCTATTGATCCGCAGGGTAAATGTGATGTCCGGGCACTAAAGGTCTGATATGCCTCCTATGCTAGAGCTAGACGGGCTTCACTAACTTACGTTTTCCTTTGATCGATAGCTCGGCCTGTATCTGACTTCTTTGTGGTGCAGCCCACACCAAGTAGCTGGGAGTCCTTGGTGCTTGTTCCTCTGGGTGGTATAATCCTACATGCAGAGTGACGGAGAGACAGACAAACATGCACACAGGCAAGTAAAGGGACTCACTTAGACAACTGTGGCCGTAGTGCACCATGAAGTCGGCTCCCAGCGCTCTGGCGGTGAAGTCGTCCACACAGCAGGCCCCGTATGTGACGTCCCCCATCACGATGGTATCTGCCTCTGTAAACCTGGGAAGTACACACATGGAGACACTAATCGGTGCAGTCACGGACCATATGCACATCCTGTTGTTCGTTACCATGGCGATCAATACCACAGCATACCCGGCACAGTGTGATTATCAGAGAGCTGAATGAGATCGATCCCTATCCACTTGCTTCAGATAGAGTACACTATATGGAATCTGACAGCGTTGTCAGATAATGAGTGACTCACAGCTTATCAGAGTGACACACTCATTCCTCTGCTCCTCATGAGCGGCAGCCAAAGGACCGAGTGCGGCACAAGCTGTCTGATGACCTATTAACCCTCGCCTGGCAGTGCTTTACTAGACAGCCTGACCACAGAAAGGAGGCTACACAAAAGGAAGAAGCAGTAGGAAGGGAATGACTGGTGCACAAAGGCAGATTAGAGTTTGGCCCAATCCCAAACCACGCCCTACACCTACACACTCCCCCTCTGTGATGTAGTGAACTCTGTGGAGTGACACTCGCAGCTAAATGAGGCTCCTTCCTGTCAGATGGAGGGTGTAAATACAGCAGCAAGCTTTGGGACGGCCTCCCCTCTCTCCGGCAGAAACAGGAAATGCCGTAACTGTATGTAACAACGGTTTCAAATCAGCATCTCTTGGACAAAAAATAAAAATTAATAATAACTCAAATAAAACTCCAAACATCTTTAATTGTGTTACTTTTTTGTAAAGCTCTTTTAGTTTTAAACCTGATGTTTATAAGCTTCTTAGTTTTTGCAACAGTCTGTAAATATACACAACTTTATAATAAAATGCACACATTTACCTTTTTCTAGACTAAACACAGGTATGATCCTAAATTAAAAACAATATGAGGTTATCATGAGGTTGTTAGCATCGCAGTTTATCAGTGGATGTTTGCTGGAACTACTTGTTAACAGCGTGTTTCCTGACGGACACACACAGCGTTGAGACCGGTCAGGTAGAGACCGGTCTCAAGTCAGCACCGCTGCAGACTCGCTGTTTGAGGGCTTGATAGCCCACTCCCCCTCCACACCGCTCCACACTCGTTGGTTTGGAACAGCACTTAATGTGGCGGACCCTCCGCACGAACGCGCAAACGGAGGGGTAGTGTGTAGGGGGTGGTTTGGGATTGGGCCCTAATATGGGCCTTGGCTTACACTATCTGTGGCATGGATTTACTGCACACCTGCCTACTAGAGAAACTAGAGAAACATGCACCAGTTAGTGTTGGCTGCATTCAAATAAAATAGTAGATGCTTTATGCCACAAGTAGGTTGCGAGAGTGTAACACTTCCCGTATGAGCCTAATGTTCCACTTTGCGGCTGTAATAGAATATGTTTTTCATGGCCTTCTTGAGAAGGAAACTACCAAATTACACTTGCATCTGTGGACCCAGATCTGTTAGAATGAATTGCCGATCCCACTCCAGAAAAACAAGTTCTTTCTTTTATTGCGCTTTATGGGCGAATAAAATGCTAAGTAAACCCTTAAAGGCTGAGTCAAATGAATAAAGGCTGAGAGTTACAGGGAGGATGTGCAAATGAAGAGAAGCTTGAGGCATTGTAGGGGGGTGGTTGTTGCAACATTTTGTGGCTGTCTTCTGACAGATTTAGGCTAGACAGAAGGGGTAGAATAAAGATGAGACAGAGGACTTGGGGAGAGGAGCGAAGTGATAAAAAGACATGGCTGCACACAGAACAATCAACAGACTCATAGTAATGTGTCTCCTGCTGCCCAATCTTTCAACGGACATCCACTCTCTCTGTTTATTCCTCAGTCTGCTCCTCGCAAGGGGCTTCAGACAGAGTTTTCTATTTAGCCTCTCCTCTGATGTAATCTCTGGTTTGAACTCTCTCAGGCCTTCACATCATCGTCCCTACATTTGGCATTTTGTTTCTCCCTCTCTAGTTCCCTGTCCCTTCTCCTCTACTCGCTGTGCTTCAGTGAAGGGTAGTGCAGGCCAGCTGAGCCCAGGAAAACATAGACAGAGAAACTCGTGTGGTAAATAAATATTTGAAGATTTGAATCAATGACCCTCTCTCTTGTCAAGGTTTTAATGTCGTCAGTGTGTGTCTCTTTGTACTGCGTACACATGCGAATGCAGCCGGCAGCAGGAAGGTAATTACGGGTTAGTAAAAATGATATAATCACACGAGGTGTTTGAGGATTGTGTATTGGTGCACTAGTTTGCTCATTCCCTGCATTCCATTGTTCTTTCATCACATTCCACTGATTGTGTTTGGAGTTGCATAAACGTGCACAAACCTTTCAGCTAAAAATACACAGCCTGCCCACCACGAAAAAAGAGAGGTTACTCCATGCAATCCACAGCAGATCATCTACAATGCAAAACACAACACTGAAAATGATTGTATCTAATCAGCCAGCTATCTGTCAGAAGTAACGTTATCAATGTATCTCTATTGGCACTGCAGTCCATATCCAGCAATTCTCAGGGTGAGTACTCTGACATTTCATGGTAATAAATGCGAAGGATCCGATTAAAAAGCCCATAAGAGACATGTGATGCTACTGGGACATCGGCAGAATAATTACTGGGCAACGTATAGACCTATATCCCACTGGGAGAGAGGAAAGACAGAATGAAAGATTGTATGAGAGAGAATTATAGAATGAAAAGTGTATCAGTCTTTTCTAAAAGCACAAGCTACGCATCTCCTTAGAAATACCATACGATTGGTTGGTAGAGCGTACGTTCCCTCCAGTAGCTTCCCATTCATCTCCTCTACTGCTCTTCCTTTTTGCCCCTTTCTGGCTCGCACTAATCTCTGGTGTCAGTCACTTTCTGGATTCCTTCAGTGTATCAGCGCTGGGTTTGCCTCATCTCAGGGTACTCAGTTCAGCCATTCCAACTGAAACGTCATTAAGATCTAATTAAGATGTCAGAGAAGCTTGTGAACTCCATAACAGCGCTTGTTAATTACCTCTTTAGCATATAGCTCAATATGTGTGAGAAACGGCCAACCGATCAGAATCTCTGCTTGAAGACCACTGTCCTGCCATGCTGCAAACACTAGTTGAGGAGCAGACTGAAATAATGTATGTACACACACACACACACACACTTGAGGAGCAGACTGAAATAATGTACACACACACACACTTGAGGAGCAGACTGAAATAATGTACACACACACACTTGAGGAGCAGACTGAAATAATGTACACACACACACACACACACACACACACACACACACACACACACACACACACACACACACACACACACACACACACACACACACACACACACACACACACACACACACACACACACACACACACACACACACACACACACACACACACACACACACACACACACACAGGAATAAGTGCCAGTTGATTGTATCACTGTTTATCTAGAGTCAATATGTTTTCCTGTAACTACCTGCAGCTCCATTATTGTCCGAGTGTGGCAGATTCGTTGACCTGATGCTGTCCTCTGGAGATGATACGTTTTTGACAGGAATTTCTTAAAAGAGGAACTTGCGGCTCGGGTATGTTGCCACAGACAAAGATAATTAAAAACTTCTACTGTCTCCGGACCATCCCATTAGCACTTACAAAGCTTTCCTGTCACCAATGACACTTATCTCATAATGAAAATGACTAGGCTGAGTTCGACTAAAATGGTTCTAACATCTGTCTGAATAACTGATGATTTAAGGTTTAGGAAAATGCAGATCATTTTCACACTGACTCAGGTTTTCTCTTGGACCTATCCATTTATGTAAAAATTACAGTTCACAAAAGGTTCTTATAATGATCCTTAACCTGGAAAACAGTATTCTCTGTAACTCTTTGTCTGGCTGAACAATACAATTAGATGATGAGTTTTACAAGTTTGTATTGTTCTATTTTTCTGCATAGAAATGTCCAGTTGTGTTTTTGAGAGTCAGTGTATTAGGTTGGGGGGGGGACATTTCTGCTAGTTTAAGATGATTTCTTCAGGTAAGTGGAAAGACTGAATTACAACAAACAGTCATTCACATTTGAAACATTACGATCTATATTAATGATCCATAACTCAAACATTATTTTGTCAGATATTCCCAAGGTCAAACAAATGGAGCTATGTCAAAGTTAGACGCTTTACTTTAAAGTAGAGCAGCTAAGGATGTACACTAATCAATGATGTCATTTGTATTAATTTGCCAAGAAACAATTAATGTTTCAAAAAACATTTTATATATCTTGTTAGTTAAGTTTGAAGCAGTTCATTTCAAACGGCATATCTTTGTCATTGTGTAAGTGGAAATGCCCTCAAGATGTATAATTGCTAGTCATTGTTTTTTTATTTTCTTAACCATCAACATTAGCTGTATCTAAAACTGTAGCTAGAATTGTTATGACAAACAAATCAAGTGTAATAAAAATGACCAAAGTAAGATGACTTATTGCCTTACTTACAGTAGATACAATGCTGCATACAAACACACACATCTAAAGTCATAAACAAGTAAACACTGTAAGACATCAATATAAACAATATTGTGATATTTGATTTTGTACATATTGAATCAATAGCACTACAATGGGCATAATGTTTTTTAGGCTTTGGTTCTTATATGCTTTTTTTCTTGTCCTTCCCCATCCCAAGTGACCCAGAGACTATGTTAAGTGCTTTGCTCAAGGACAAGGCAGAATGGGAAATTAAGTGTAATGCTGGATTTCCGAACCTGAATGTTTCCCTTCTGGTCTCCTAATGTTAGGGAAGCACTGGCAGTGTTAACAAACTCTAATGATTTGGATGCTTCACTATTCTGATAGGTGGAGTGCAAAGCCATTTAAGAAGAACAACAAGCTGCTTTAGTGTTGCTTGACATGCATTTGCTTGGAGGGCCTGTGAATGCTCGACAAGCTTGAAAAATAAAATAAAAACTGGCGACAGTTAAACTTTCCATCTGCCATCATCAGGTGGGCCGATCCAATTGGCACATTGGAGGCTTCTTTATTTCCCTGCTGATGTGATTTTTTTGCACTGTT